TCGTACTTGATAAGATCAGCAATAAACACCTACGTACCTTTCCTCAAATAATATGAAAAGGATATGAAAAGCTTTCACCCTTTCTCTTTTTTAGAATGAAAAGTCGCACTTGGATAGACCAGAAGGAATTATGCCACATTTTGCCAAAGAAGGAAAGATCCGCCATAGACTTCACCTGAGACTAATTAAAGGAATCTTGCCACAATGCTATAAGGAACAAAGCAAACAAGAAAATCAAAAGAGCCTTTTCTCGGAAGGGAAGGTAAGGGAGAGGTTAGAATATACTCGAACAAAGTGAGAGGTTATGCAATATGCTCGACTGAAAAGAGAGGGGGAATATGTTAGACCAAAGGTTTATCATATGCTCAACCGATAGGAAGAGGAGATTTAGTCGGTTGGGCATGCTTTCCTATCATCTTTATCTCGAGGTGTAGTATATAGTTCTTTATCCCTCGGTTCTGTGAGCGTAGGAACTCTATCCCGTTGGTTTGTTCCTCCAATCTCCACAAAGTGTTTTCCCAGGATTTTTAGCACTTCCTGACATATTCATAGCACTCAGCCATTTATTCTTGCCAGTAAGACCCTGCTCTCAAAATCTTGCGGGCTATAGCATGCCCGGTAGCATGTGTTCCACAGACTCCCTCATGCACTTCTCTTATGATGTACCTGACTTCCTTAGAATCGTCACACCTCAGCAGGACGTTTCCGTAACCTCTTTTGTACAGAACCTTGCCACTCAGCACATACCCCGCAGCTAGCCTTCGTATTGTTCTCTTCTCATTTGAACTGGCACCCTCCGGATATTCCTTGTCTTCAATGTACCGCAAAATGTCATAGTACCACGGTTTCCCGTCAGTCTCGAAGATCACACTTGCGCATTCTGCACTAGCCCGGTGAGCAGATTCCTTTAGCACATTGACAACAACTGGCTGGACTTTGTCATCTGTCTCCAGCCTACGTTCCAACCAGTAGTAAGCAGCTAACCTTCCTCTAGCGCTTACGTTCCCGAAGTGTGGGAAAAGGTGAGCGCCTATCTTGAGCAGCATGGCTGGCCAGAGGAATATGAGGCCGAATTCCTCTTAGAGCATTATTCCCTTTCTCCTCTAGGAAAGGTTGGTGTGGCACGTAAGGCTTCCTTTTTTCCTCAGTGATTCCCCTCATCTCGTGGCTAGGAACATCTATGTAGAGGGGATTGTATTCATGGTGCCAGTTATAGGTAGGTAGGAACCTTCATGAATCTTATTCGCTAACAGATAGATAGCTCACTCTTATATATTATCTATTTATATATTGGCTTTTGCTATACTATATAAATAGACCTTGCCCGCCTCCCCCCACTCCTCCGGCTACTTATTATGCGTTAGTCAGTCAGGTTCAGCAAACCACATCTGATAATCGAGGACGGGGCAGAAATTTCCGGGGTTAGGGCTCGGGTGGTATTCTCGTTCTCGGTGCGAAGCCTTCTTTTTCTGTGATATGTCAGGGGACATGTTTGCCACACACCTGAGCAATCAAATGTTATCATCGGTTGAATCTCTCGTATCAGGACGATCCTCTTGCACATCAGGTTTCAGCCATGTCGCTGAACTCTCCAGCAGATCCAAAGTGCTATCTCGATACAGAGGCCACAAAGCACATGACTTCCTTTGTTGGCTCCTACTCTACCAGACGTTGGCCGGCTTCGCGAGACCTTTTCGATCTACACATGGCTAAGCTCTATTAGGCGCTGGCTTATCGAAGCAAATCCCGTACTTGATAAGATCAGCAATAAACACCTGCCTTTCCTCAAAGAATAAGAAAAGGATCTGGAAAGCTTTCGCCCTTTCTCTTTTTTTAGAATGAGAAGTCGCACTTGGATAGGCCAGAAGGGAGTATGCCACCCTTCGCCAAAGAAGGAAAGATCCGCCAGAGACTTCACCCGAGACCAATGAAAGGAAAGCTTGCCACAGTGCTATAAGGAACAAAGCAAACAAGCAAAGCAAGAGAGCCTTTTCCCGGAACGGGAAGGTAAGGGAGAGGTTAGAATATACTCGAACAAAGTGAGAGGTTATGCAATATGCTCGACTGAAAGGAGAGAGGGGGAATATGTTCGACCGAAGGTTTATCATATGCTCAACCGATAGGGAGAGGAGGTTTAGTCGGTTGGGCCTGCTTTCCTATCATCTTTATACCGAGGCTACGGGTTCTTTATCCCTCGGTTCCGTGAGAGTAGGAACTCTATCCCGTTCGTTCGTTCCTCCAATCTCCACAAAGTGTTTTCCCGGGATTTTTGGCAGCAGCAATGGTCTTTCTGCCCGTCCTTTTTTTAATTTCAACTAAGCTTGGCACAGCCGCCTAAGAAATTAGGTCACGGTCGCGGATCAGGAGAGAGTTACTTGTGTGACGCATCTATATCTGGGGATGATCGGGAAGAATCTGGTAAGTTCGTTGTACATTGCCCCTTAGATTGGAAAGGACATAAGCTCAACACATTTTATAGCTATCATCGCCGCTTTCATCAAATTCAGGCGTTGGTACATTATACTGGGTGGCAGCTTTTCGGAACATGGCCTTCAGTTGTTGTCATCCCTACGTTGTTGAGCAGTAGTCTATAGAAGCATGTCATCTATGAATGATCCGATGAAATTTTAGATGAAATAAAACCTAGCTTTTCGTCACGTGAATTAGCCGCCAGTCTTTGAGGTCGCCTTCCTTGCTTGACAGTATAGCCTGCGGGTGAAATCCTAATTGTCATATTGTACATGGGAATGAAAATTGTGAGGACATTGAATGAGAAATCAAGACCCTAAACACTTGACCACTTAAATTGTGGGTGTATTTTATAAATTTTCCTATCTTTGGGTCCCACTGGACCACTAAAATTATATCATATTAGCTTCTGATTAAATTATACGCCCGCTTGCGTTTATTTTGAAGATAACCACGTTCCACTAGTCGTGATTATAAAATAAATAATTTTTTGAACAAATTCTTCTCGTCCTTATCTTCCAACATTGAACAAATCCACTAATATGAAACCCCAAACTGTGATACTTTTCAACTTGGCCGTTGTTTGTAAATAATTTCAATTACGACCCACTTTAGATTGTTGAAGAAGTTCTATGACTAAGAGGTCGAAATCCAGACAAAATGTGGTGTCTACAAGGAGTCAGGGTTGGTGGTTGAGTGAACCACCCTTCATTGATTCCACCCGACGGAGGATAATGAAATTGAGCCACAGCACGAGTCAGGTCATCCATCAAGACATACCCCAGTTCTAAGGCGACCTTTGACAGAACAAGACCACCGATTACTTTTCCAGTGGGAAGGACAATGAATCTAACTCTTTTCGGTACCTTCCTCAGAAGCATTATTGAAGAAGAAGAGCTGGAAGGGAAATCGGATGGTAGGACTGTATTACTCAAGAGCATGATATTTATTTACAAGAAATAACACGGGGATAAGCGCCATATCCACCAACCAGTAACTGCAGCGAAATAGAAATAGCGAGATGATACTTCATAACAAGAATTTCCATTTGCATTACCCGAAGAAAGAAAGATGCAAGACGGATTGGTTACCGCCTTCGAAAGCTAATCAACTGATTCAAATAGGAGACATCAAAGGAAAGTCAGAGAAGAAGCAAGAGTCTAAAGTGGATGAATCCACAAAGTATTTCTACTTAACTCGTCAAGCAAAGTAGCTATCAACGGCTTTAGCATGAAAACTATAACATCAAGCCATGATAAACTTCCAAAGCGTCTACTATAGTTTAGCGCCTTTGCCAGACTTCCCAATTGACCACGCTGCGGGCGATGCACCCAGGCGCTCCTTGTTGAGTAGAGGCATCATTCCTGGGTTGGGTTAGGGGCAGATAAAGAATCTGGTCTCATCCAAACAAACGACAAGTGGAAAGCGGATGAACAGTGGGCGGAAGCCAAACGAAGAAAAAGAGAATGGATCATGTCTTTCCAGCTGGGCCCCCACTAGAAAGAAAGTCGTAGCCCCCGATCCGTGCCCTTGGCCTTTGCCTAACTTCTTGGCGTTCATTTGCGACACTTGGTGTGGAATCTTCGTCTGCCTACCTGAGATGGTTTAATATTACGTGCTACTAGCTTTGAGTGTCAAATCATCCCGCCTTTCTTGCATGCACGATTTGTCCCTTGTCTAAACATTGTCGAGCTTCTTTCTTATGCATGCCAAATTCAAGAGTAAAACTAAAGCGGAGTATTCACAGAAGAAGAACCGTACCGGCCCCGCTCTCAACATTACCTGTCGACTCTTTCTTCTCTTACGATATTTCCACGGGAGATAGAAAAGCACACGGTCTTTCCCTGCTCAAACTCTGATTCATCAGGCTTGGCGCCAAGTGCGTGGAAAGAATCCGTCCTTTTGCCTCTGTTTCCGCCTCGATTCGGGCGAGAGACCGGAATCATCTGGGGCCCCATTCCTTTGCCTCCGAATCGAAAAAGACGAAAAATCTAACAATTGCCGCAGGATTTGGATAGATGATGACTAGAAATTGCTGAATCAACTGCTCCACAGCACACAAGTTGGCGTCCTTGGGCGGCTCTTCGCCACCTGGGGCTCTGAAGGGCGCTTGGCGCCAAGATGAGGCCCATTGTAGAATCACAAAAAAGTATCTTTGAAAGCTAACTAGGAATAGAAAGCACAGAAGGAAGTAAGTTTTCCTTTTAGAATTACTTTTTCTTTCTCGATGCTTTGATTCAAGTTATTTATATAGTAAAGAGATTTTACCAGCTATTTTTCGACACAACAAACTATTTAGCAACAATAGGAATCTTTTTGAGTTAAGATATTATACCGGGCCCGGCAGAAAAAACACTGTAACGTTTACGGGGCGTACGCCTGGAACAAAAAGGTTCATCGTACAATTTCGGCGATTACAAAATGAGTATATCCCTCTCCCTTAGTGTCTTTACACTTCCGTCGTTCAGGAACAAACACTTCGCCTAATTCTTTTGAATCCCGGCCCGCTTTTTTCCCACTAACCAATTACGTTACGACCACTGAACAAACTTGGTTGACGAACATGGTTTATGCGCCGCTAATGTAGCGGCTTGTCGAGCATTTGACAAACTCACACCATCCATTTCAAATAGGATTTGTCCCGTGGACACACGAGCAATCCAACCCGTAGGATTTCCTTTTCCTCTTCCCATTCTTACTTCTGTAGGTTTCCCGGTAATAGGGAGATCCGCGAGAACTCTTACCCATATCTTACCATTTCTTCTGAATTGTCCGCTCATAGCACGATGGAATTGTCCGATTATAGCACGACGCGCTGCTTCAATGGCTCGATACCAAAGGCGACCAATATTACACTTTTACTGCCATATCTTCCAAAACCAAGTTGTGTACCGTCCGTTTTACAACTCCTACTACATTTAACTTATCGTTATTTACTATGTTTCGTATGTTTCCGATATAGCACGTCCCCCTTTTTTACTACAAAAAATCCACACTTTGACACATGAGATTCCGTAACGAGTATTTATTTCTGCGGGGGCATAATCAATTTTCTGGTTAAATATATTACGAGATGTTTTTCCATACCTTCTGCAGTCAGTTCTAGCTATTTTTGTGTCTTTTGATCGACCTGAAGAGCATATATGGATCTCCTCCACCCTTTTTTCACTACTAATGGAATATCCTTCACTATTTTGCTAAAAATGGAATGAAATGATCTTCTTTTGTTCCTCAGTTGAAAAGAAATGTACTTAGCAATCGGAGAAGCACTTTTGTAAATAGATTGAATCATGACCGAATCAGTTAAGGTATTAGTGTTTGTTCTAGTAGACCACAGAGATTGTTGCATATATTAATTACTTAGTCAAAAAGTAATTAATTCCTTGTCCTCCAAGTCTCTTGTTTCATTTTCCTGTTAAAAGAAGGAATCTGGTTGTCATTAGGGTTTTAACCCTACGTCTACCGCTATAGCTACGAGATTGTCGTAGGCAAGCCATCACAATGTAGTCCCTAATAAAACGTCAGCGTGAGCTCCTCCGAGCTCACCATAAATTAGTCTCGATCAATCAATCGATCGAGGATACCACGTAAATCCCCAATGTTGTGTGTTCTTTCAATCCTATTTAGATAACCATCTTTCATGCATTATACTCATTCATAAAAGTAGACTTGTTCCGTTGATCCAAATAGCAAGATTTTCTTAAACACTGATCAACTCTAGAGGGAAAAGCCTACAGGATTTAAATGGGTATATTGCCTTAAATATAAAAACAGACGGTACTGTTGAACCGGCTCGCTCGGATAATTAATTAAGTGTATTTCGACATATTAACCTCTTGCGTGACACAATGTTGATAATAAGTGCATTTCTTGTAGAAGTAACCAAACATAGGATAGGGGACAATACATGAAAAAGCGAAGAACACGTAAATATTCCTCTAGCCCGGTGAATATAGTTGGACCGGCTCGCCGGAGAAATTAACAAAAAGCGTACAAGCGGTATCTAGTTTGGGTGCATACTAGGCGGAATATTACCTGGGTCGGCGCTCAACAATTGCTTAGATTTAATATTACTTGAGTTGTCGGGGTATGCATTCATGTACGTATTCCAGTGTGCATAGAATAGTAAAATTCATAACTAGATTTTCTTAACGTACAACTCATGTTATTGGGACGAAATCATTTACCACATGATATCAGTGCTAGTTTGATTAAGTGAATGTATTCAAATTTTTTAGATTCTCGTTATTAATAGTTGATTGGAACAGAAGGTATAGTATTAGTACGTAGACCTGTACAAACTTCAAGTACATTGGTTGGCTTTCGTTTTACACGGGTGAATATAGCTAGTTTGACTGGCCTGCCAAACGTACACTATTGTAATTGTTGTGGCTAACCTGGTCGTCGGCAGCCAAAAATGAATCGTCTTTTCCTGGATAGGAAGATCCCGTCATTCCGGTCATATGTGTATATATATCTTCTCGGCTACGTAGCTCTAATCATCATAGTGAGCAAGAAAGTATCATAGAAGAGAGAAGATGAATACTACGATGAGAGCTGCCGTTATAGTAGTGATGATAGTGGCGGCGTATTCTGTGAGCGTTTCCGGTAAGGATGATGATATTGATACAAAGTTTTGCGGTTGTGGTCCGTCCAAGGATCAGAATAACTTCACTGCTCGCCTGACGCTGTCCTTGACGATGTGGTAAAAAATACAGCTTCTCAGCGCGAAGACGCAGTCTCCGGCGAGATCACCTACACAGCGACGGACCCGGCGAAGGGCCGCAGAGGCGCCGCCGCGGCAACCGGCACTTGTTTCGCCGACGCCTTCCTTGACTGCTCAGCATGTCTGTCCAGAGCGCGGGGTTTTCTGAAGCCATGCGGAGCCTTTGCCTGCGGCGGAATTCGGTTTGATGGCAAGTGCCGCTTTCAGTTCCGCCAAATCAAATGATCCCATCATCATTATTCCAACTTCCAACTTCCAACTTCCACTTCCGGCCGGCGGGAACCCAACTACGTACTGTCTTAGTTGTCTGTGTTCTTTCTTAAATATATGTCATTTTGGTGGGTTCAATGTTTAAAGTCTATCGTCACACTCACTCAATCATATTTGTGTTGATTAAATTTCCTTTTCGCTACCTAGAAAGTTAATTTAACTAAGGGGACTTGATTAGTGCCCTTTCTATCAAATATGTCAATGTATTAGTGTTAAATACTTTGATATCTTAAGCGAAACATGATATAAAACGTGCCAATACTTTCGATCTAAGTACTATTAAATGTACGTGTCACTTTCGGTCTATTTCCAAAGTTCTAAATTCATATTCTTGTGATGACTTTACAACACCATCCTCAACCTGGCTTAGCACAATACACATTATACTAGCGAATGGGGGAAAATAAGCTTCCTTTTCAATAAAGGTGAAATCAATTAATAAAAGGAAAGGAAAACCAGTACAGACCAGAAGAAAACGAAAGGAAAAAATAAGCTTCTTTTTCATAACATCAAAAGAAAAAGAATTACTAGAGGAAACAAAAAATAATAAATGTTTGTTTCATCTATAATATTCGATCCAACATATATCACTAGAAATACTTTCTAGAAAAAAAAAGATACAAATCCAAGAACACATAAATTTGAACAAGTCAAACAACTTCAAAACTTTTCTGCACAACATGCTAGAAAAGAACAACACATAATGCCAAAACAACTATCATGATAACTTCAACTTCAAACTTTCCTCCAAAACCTTCAAATTCTTTGCTTCCAGTCTGCTAGTTTATTTCTTCTTTCTATTAGTTGACCTTCCAATCTCAACAACTAGACCTCGCCGTTTCGAGGACTTGAACGTCTCTTTTCTTGGCTTAAACCCTTCCCACACAAATTAGAAAAAAAGTACAATCAATAACAAAAATATAAAAATAACATTACACATAAGAGAGTGATATTCCACATTGTACCACTAAACACCACATTGATGCAATAAAATAATAAACTAAACAACCACCAAACAAGTTTAACCATCGACAAAAGTACACAGGTAGATCATGCGCTCGTCCACTTCACACTTCTTGATCAAATTAGTTACGAAAGCCATGGCTGAATTATACCAATAATCATTCAAACGTGGCCTACTGATCAATCATGCAGAAATAGCCCAAAGATGCAACATACGAGACCGATGCTTTGCTGGACTATCAGTAGATGCCACTTCAAAACCAAAATTACCACAAGCTTTTGTTGCCCTCGTCCACCGCTTCATAATTAAAGTAGAAGGAAGGCGTTGGAACTTCACATTTCATGTTTGTAGACCACAACATATATGCCCTGCATTGATGGTTGAAAAGAAAACCACTCAACTCCCACTTAAGACACGAATACTTGATTTCACCATAATCAAAGTCAAGAACCTAGTATAAAACCTTGAAATGTTTGGTTCCAATGTGAAGACATCAAATCCCCTTCCATTTCCTTCTTGTACTGACTAGAATTAGAAAACAATATTATATGAACAAGATTGCTTATACTACTCCTAGAATAACTTAAATATTTTGAGCGTTTATATATGAGCAACCTGCTTAACAACAGCACTACACAAGAAACGAGAATTAGTTAACCTAGAAATTTTTAAGTACTCTTTGTCACGAATGTTTCTCTGCAGATCGGGAAGTAGGAAGATTCGATAATGCAAAATAATGAAAGGAAAAACACGCGCGACACACACCATTTACGTGGTTAACTAACACAGTATGTGTTAGCTAGTCCACGGGCATAGGGGTGAACAAACACACCCGCAAACCGACCCACCCGTCCAACCCGACCCAACCCACCCGTATTTATCGCTAAAACGAAGGTTTTGGGTTGGGTGAGGGTTTTTTTTTTGTACAACCCACCTCTTTTGGGTTGGGTTTTGATACAACCCAACTCGCAGGCTGTATATTCCAGAGTCGAGCAGCTCACTCCAATCCCATAATAATGGAATTGCAGAAGCTAAAACAGAGATCTTTGATGGGAGATTCAATCGTGCAACTTCAACACTCAAGTTGGGGAAGAGGCTCGACTAAATATAAGTAGCAACTCGTCCACGATCGAGGTGATGATCGACCGATGCTGAGCTCGCTTGTTCGGTGGAATCAATTCCACACAACCAAGGACAATCCACGAGAATGACTCGATGAACTCAAAAGTTGATTTCATAAAACCTGTATTGAATTACAATGTAAACAATGCTTAAATAGACTCTAGCTACTTAACCAACAAGAAATAAACGTCCTACCTTAAACAGAAACTCAAACTCACAAGGAAAGAATAAAACTCCAAAACAGGCTAAAAGTCCTACTCCAACAAGGACAACGAATTACAGCTTCCAAAGTCAGAATTCAGCGGCCTTAGTACGATCTTTGGACCCTTCGTACTAGCGCTTCCAAGGCCCAAACTGATCAACCAATTCCTTGTCGTTGTAGCCTGAAACCCGTACTTGGATGTGGAACAATTCGCGTGACTTGGTTTGCAGCCACCTCTTCCAAATTAACCTTCAAAGTAGCTAGCTCAGACATGCCTTCTGCCTTGGTCATTTCCTGACAGATTTCCAGTTTTACTATACCGTTTTGGAACGCCTTAAAAATGGTCTTCTGGACTTGAAACAGAGCTCCCAACTGTACCATTGCGTAGCCCAGCACTTGGACTTCAAAACAAACCCCCAAGCTCCCATTTTCATCAATCCTTGCGTGTCGACCAGACCTGCAAAGTACCCTACCCGAGACGAGTAAATGACTTAAC